ACCACATATTGTACCAAGTTAGTCCCCTTCATTTATCTCTACCAAACCATTTGGATCTTAGCAAACCAATGTAAACATCTCTCTCTAGCAAATACATATTTCCTCTTTATGGTAGTTTTGCAAGCAAGCAAAATGAAATGAAACAGTACAATGTTTTCCATCACTATAGTTATTTCTTCTTCTTCCATGATTTCTCTCAGTATTATTTTGCTCATTTTACATATTGTACACTAATATATGTATGATGAGTCAAATTAGGCTTCGAACGAAGCTCTTTTTGATTTGTTAGTTGAGAGCCTGGATTCAAGTCTCACATATGTATTATCTGTATTTGGGCTTCCCAAAAAGAAAGAGGCTTCATTTGGGACATGATTCTTATTGTTTTCTATAACTGTTTTCTAATATATAAATTTTTTAACTTGAAATTTTTATACTAGAAAACTGCTTTAAAAAGCAATAAGAAAGCTGACCCAAATGAAATCTTAGTTTTCATTTGGCATATTCTCATCTATATATATTTTTTTCATAAAATAGCAAGATAACATATCCATTTAACTTTAGGACTAGCTCTTGGCTTCTAAAAGAGATTAATTTATTATAATTTATGATGTCATAATAATTTAAATAATATAATATTTGTAATAATAATATAATTGAGTGATAAAATTCTAAAAATATCTAAAAAACTAACAATTTAATGCCATCAAATTCAAATTTATAATAAATAATAGCATTTGTGTATTCTTTTTGAAGATTTTAAATGATCCAACCTGTTTGATTGGCTGGTCCAATCTGATTGTCAAAATCCAGGTGCTGGTTCAATTAACTAATGAGTCACTATGGGGAGCATAGTCTAGTGAGTTAATATTATAATTGTTTAGGGTTTAGTGGATTACACTTAATCAAAGAAGAAAGTTTGTTCTTGAACAGCACATCAACAAAGCTTTTGGTGACCATTTTCTTATGAAGCAAGACAACCTTATTAATTTAAGGGGGAGAAATAAAAAATGTTCAGTGCTATGTTGATTCTTTGCTTCTAGAAGTATCCAGAAAAATTATTAGGGTTCCTCTTCGTGTTCAAGAGTAGGGGTGCGCATTTGAACGATTTGATTAGCTAGGTTTTGATTCGGACCAAATTACAGACGGAATCTAAATTAACCGATCAAATAATATGTAGAACTGAACCAAATCAAACTGCAACATAATTCGATTTTTTCGATCCGGCTTTGATTTAAACAAAGTTTAAAAGTTGTAGATCAATGTGATCAAATTAGAGACCGTGGCAGAATTTCAACTTGAAAATGATATAGATTATTTGTTATTGATTATGGATCATTTGATTTCATCAATCAATCTCTATTCTTAAGGCATATGATGATGATATAAAATCTAATATATGACTTTTGTTTGTTAACTTTCACATGGTAAGCTACATGGGAAAAGAAACACAAGTTCTATGTTGTAGGGATGTTGGTATGGTAAGAAATTCTTTATGATAAAAAATATAGTTTGATGTTACTTATATATCTCAAAAGAGCTCAAAAGAAATGAATCAACGGTTAGATATACTTAGATTGATCGAATTGGAGATCAAATAATTTGTTTGTTAGCTCTCAAACAAGAACAAGTGTGTCACACCTAGTTCATTGACTCTTAGATCAATCAAATCGTCACCCAAATGTTGTTGTGCAGATCAAACCAAGATGGACTGGTCATATCGGCTTGACTTAGGCGAATTATCTACAAACCTCGTGAATCGCCACTCATTCAATCATTAAGAACCTAATCAGTGGGTGCAAAGCGATTCATTTAGCTACTTTAGTTGCACTGATGTGCCTTCATTCAATCACGATGACCCTACCGATATTCTAAACTCCTTTGATGCGTTGCAACCTCATAGTATTCACTTGCACCACATTCACTACCCTCAAGATCCACATAGCAATATTTATGCTATGCTTCGCTTGTGACAACTTTTGATTGCTATTTTTTTATGCTACTTTCAAGAAAATTTTTGCTACAAAACTGCTATAGAAAACAACAAGAAAATTACTCCAAATGAAACCTTAATCTCTTATAAAAAAATGCACTGCAATATTCACTTATTCCACAATCATAATTGTCACATATATAAATCATCCATGCAAGTCTTATATTATAATCTTTACTTAGGTTTTATCCTCACCTATAAGAAACAGAATCATTTGCAGTAAAACCTGTCCTGCAAGTTTCTCTCTCTACTGTAAGAATCGTGCTACAACCATTTCTTGCAAAACCTTCATCACAGCCATTTCTCACATATGGCTAGTTCCACAAGCATTTTCTGCAAGACTTGCACCATTGCATTCATGTGCATCAAGCACATCTCACATGGCAACCGCTGCAAAAACTCTCATAGCTTATCATTCTAAAATGTTAAATAGATGCAAAATAATTTTATAAGGAAAATAGAAAAGCTTATTTTTGATGAATTCTAAGGTTGCCAAATTGGATAAATTCCAAATTCGCCGAACTCTCAAATCCACCGATAATCTCATGGAACGAGACGTTAGAAATAAATCATTGTCAACCCTAATTGTAGTGTTTGTAGGTGAATACTGACTAGATTTTTTTGAGGAATTTTATTGATTACAACCTCCAATTAAAGATGCAGACGAGATGTTATATAGGGGATATCAAAACAGGTTAATAGGATGGTTTAGGTAGAATTCGAAATTGAGTTGACCCGAATCCAGTCAACTCGAACCTGAACTCGACCCGATTAATAGGTTGGTGCTCTGCTCACTTTCGTTCAGCACTGGGGCACTCAGGTATGCATCGACTGGGTGTTGTACAATAAAATAATTTTGAACCTAAGGAGGGGGTAACCCCTAGTGTACACGACAAGCTTTGAGGTCCGAAATAAGATAATAACAAAATTGATCAACACAATCAGATTCCACACATAACACCCTCTTCACATGATACCGCCAAGCATCGTCACCCCAGCCACGGCATTCATCTCAGCTTGCAATCTTTACACGTGGCATCCCTCGCTCTCTCTTTTCCACCTTTGCCATTCTTGATTTAGGTAGAGGTCAAGAGTTAGGGCATCCATCACATGCTCTCCCCTCACAGCCACCAAAGCCTCTTCCTTCCTCTTATAACCAAACAAAAGGAAGTGCTCTGCCACCTCCTCCTTCTTTCCCCTTCAAGTAAATTATCGTGTCCTCCTTCCTCTTCGACTAACAACTGAATTCAACTGAGTTAGGCGTATGTAAGAGAATCAATGGCTTAAGGATTTATCATGCTATGTTTTATCCATGCGTATGCATTACGTAAAGTAATCTATGCTTATGATATATTAGTTTTTGACCAAGAGGCATCTCCTTTGATAAGAAGTTTGAGTTTTATATGATTTTTCTTCTAATTTTTTAAAATAAACTATATACTATTTGCTTCTCCTATATCTCTCCTCATTTTATAGAAGGAAATCCAAATCATTTATTTTAAACAAAATTCAAAAATACTATGCCTTAATCGAATTAGCTAGATTAAGATTTCGTTTGGTACAGCTTAATTATTGTTTCTTAAAGCAGCTTTCTACTAAAAAAGTTGTTTTAATAGAAAGCTATTTTAAGAAGTAGTAAGAAAACCGTCTCAAACAAAACCTAAGTTTTCAATACCTTAATCTTTCTTTTGCTTCCAAGTCATCATATAACTACCATGAAAATATCCCATAAACTCTAAAACTCAACTACTAACAACGCCATACCTTTTCCAAATGTTTTCAGCCATCTTCCATAAGTCATTTATATAAAAAAGGGCCACATGGCAAGCCAAACACATTGAAATTTCTTTGTACTTCTACTCATAGTTCACTATCTTAAACCCCCTTAACAAGTCACATATTAACACCTTACCAATTCATCTCTAAGTTATTTCAAGATATGGGAACCCATCACTTGCAAACCTTAAAGATTTAAACTCACCTTACATGATTTAGATTCTAGGAGTACCGCATGCTCGACCGACCCTAACCCTTTCACCACCACTACTACACCCTACCAATTTCACCACTAAAATTCATTAAGACATAAATATCTCGATGAAGTAGAACAAATCATCAATGAGAAAGAAAGCTATACTTTAAGTTTCGTTTGGAACACCTGCAACATTTTATAAAATTGATTATGGATTTTTTGTGGGGAAAACATCGTAGCTACTATGATTGCATAAGGCATATTTACTCCGCACAAATTTTAAAAAAACATTTAAAAAATAGCAAAAAATCAATCGCCAAATGAAATTGTAGCTGTTGTCTAAAAAATAAAGCAGTTAAAAAGCTATCCCAAACAGACTTTTATTTGCACAATGAGGCTTATCACTTTATAAGTTGATAAATCTTCATTTTCTATAGTATTTCCTTTAAATAATTCATATCTTCTGTTAGACCGGTCCACTGGACCGGTCCAGCCGGTCCGCACGGGATCGGCTCAGACGCGAAACGTCGCGTGATCTCCGCCTCCTGCGCGGGAGCTTTTTAGGAAGCTTTTTTGAGAGGGAAATTTGAATGTAGGGGCTGTTTAGGGATTTCCTTTTGATTTGTATGCATTAAATAGTTGGTTTTCTTGGGGTTTGATCATCTTGAATTTGGCTGAAATTTGAGATCTCTTAGATTTAGGTTTCTTTGGGCTCTAGCGGCGTCTAGAGATTTGGGAGAGATCGATCATCCTCTCGAATTGAGGATCAATTGTATCTTTTCTATTCTGTTTCATCTATTAGTAAAAATACAAGTCTTTTCTCCACGGTTTTCTCTTCGATTTGCTATTTTTTCACTGTTTCTTGGCTGATTTCTGCTGTGGACAGCAGTTTTACATTGGATCTACTTGGTTTTGGTGAGAAACACTTGGAAATCCAAGTGTTTCCTATCATCTTCATGCTTAGAAGTAGGTTTGCAATGTTACCCTTACAATGAAGGAATTTATTCCCATCTTTAGAAGGATTTGAATTTGTACCAGTCAAACAAAATATTGTTTATTGTATGCCAACATAATTTAGTCCAATTACATGAAAATAAATTAGCCAAATTAGATATTTCAAATTTTATAATATATATATACAGAAGATTTTAAATTACAAAGCAGCAGAAATAACATTACATGTCCAAGCCTTTTGTGGATAAAATGGTATCTGAATGGAAGGAGCCTGAAGAAACCAGCTGCTCCAACTTGGAAACCATGCCAAAGCTGCAGCTAGTGTCTCATCACTCTTCATCATGTACTGAACAAGTACAAGAGAATATTTATGTAGATAAGGATATTTCAATATTTGAAAGAAATGAGGAAAATCAAAATGCAGTTTACGATGCAATTCCAATATGTTTGGATATTGATTTGAATACAATTAATAGTTTAGTTAATTCATAATAAATCCAACTAAACACTAATTATTTTAAGGGGATGTTTGAATTGAAGTAAAAGAGGTGTAAAGTGGTTTTGAAAATATCGATATTTGGTTTGAAGTAAAATAAGAACTGAGTAAATTTTGGTTATTTAAAATGAAGCCTTTAACATAATTTTAGTGAATTTGAAAATCGTTAGATTTGAGTGATTTTTAAATACACCATAAATTATTTTATCATTGATAACATCTACTGCAACAACCACCAACAATCGTCGACAATCACTATCCACCACCAAATACCACCAGCCACCTCCGCCCACCTTTTATATTACAATAATGTGTAACAACTCAAACTCTTAACTATTAAGATATTGTCCATTTTGTTCTAATGACCTCACTGTTTTATCCCGTTGGTGTAACTTTTTAGAAGGTCACCCATCCTACGATTGTTCTACGAGTACGCTTAACTTTAGAGTTTCTTAATGAAATTTCAATCATTACACCAAAAGGCATCTTAATGTTTCAGAGCTTGGCTTCTTTTACTTTAGAGATTTCACATAATATCTATTTCTGTATTTTCTACACCTGCAATTATATGAAAATCAATAGAAAAGACAATCACTGCAATTATATCCGACCTCTGATCTCAAATTTTGTCACAAGAGAACAGTGTCATTGTACTGAATGATTTAACTGTCCATACTTAAAAGCTAACATACACAAAGAAGTTTCAAAGGATTTTTTTTTTTAATTAATTGTGCCATAAACGAAGCTCTAATTAACAGGAAACTCAGTTTAGTCAAAACAACATTGTTGGGACAAAAAAGGTTTATATAAGTTACCTTTAAATATTACCCAAGAGGGCAGTAGCGTGGTTCTGCAAAACCTTCCAAGCTGCCTCAACATGTTTTTCTTCTGTCAATGGAGCTCCTACAGCGAGCCGCAAAACAAACTTTCCTGACAGAACCTAACCAAGAAATAAAGCACTTCACAGGTACTATATATGGATAATACAATATTTCTGGCACAACAAAATCGTATCATAGAGTCTTCTTGGGATCAATCTTATTTTTATATTTTATTTTCATTCAGTGTGTTTTTTTAACTATTTTTATTTATTTTAAACAACTCAAGTATTTTTTTTAAAAACTCAAAATAAATTTGAAATGTTTTGAGTATTTTTTAAAACAACTATCACACTGCCACAGGTACCGTTGCCGTCGGCGACCACCACCACTCCCATCATCACCTCGGCAGTCAACTATCACTGATGCTCACCAGCAACAGCCGCTACCTGACCTATGACTGCTGCCACTATCGCATAAATCAACTTATTTGATATTTAATAAAAACAAAACATGTTTTTAGGATAGAAAATATGATTTTAAAATATAAAAAATTAAAATAAAAGCAATCACAAATGACCCCTCAATAACTGTTAAACAAACTTGCATACAGTGTGGGATAGGAAGATCTTTCCACTTGTGTTGATAGCATCCATTAAGCTGTAGTTCAGCTTATAGCCATTGTCTTGATGATTTGGAGGTGGAACAAGGCGGAAACAAACAAGTGAGAATGTCCGAGGTGCCATGACCTGTACACCACTATAACCTGTTCAAATAGAGTCACACACGCAAGTATAAAAACTATGAACTCAATCCACATTTGAAATTTGCGAGTAACAGCAATGTTTCCAAAAGCAACATGATAGGAATATAACGTGCTATCTTCATTATCTTGTCCTTGATATTATGCTATATTGCTACTATAAGGTGTTTAAATTAATCTTTAATAAACAAGGTAAATGTGTCAATGCTACCAACCCAAGAATGAAATTCTAATTCTACCTTTCTCAGCTTATAGCAACAAGAGAGCTTGCAGGCTGGGCCAACCCAAGCATTGGCTTGATGAAAGAGTCTAATTTGGAAGAGTTTTCACATTGAGCATGTCTGATCCAACCGGAGGGTTCGATTACAAAGCCCGACTCACTTTAGACCAAGCCTAAATTAAAGCATGTGTGTGATGACTAAGGTTTCTTAATGCTTTATAAAGCAGTTTTTTTAGTAAAAAGTTTCTATTTCAAGAAATTTTTGTAATAAAAAGCTACTTATTGAGCAGTAAAAAAACCATCCCAAATGGAAACTAAATGGCACACAATCATAGTAGGATTATTAAACCATATCTTTTTGTATTATTCATGGATATAATTATAAAGAATCTTTGAAGAGAGGTATATCATGGTGCATGCTACTTTGGAGCAGACGTATATAATCAATGGGACCTCTACTAAGGTAACTAGGATCAATAAGCCTCTACTAAGGTAACTAGAATGTTAGTTTAAATGAGAAAAATCATAAAAGTAACACTTATGAAAGATAAAAGAGTGAAAAACAACTACAAGTGGCTTTGGAAATCATAATGAACAATAAAAGATACACCAATATAATAAAAATATAAAATCAATTTAAAAGGATTAAGCAGAAAAAATAATAGACCAAAAGCAATTCAAATAGAACTTGTAACAAAATAAATTTAACATTTCAATCAGCACTTAGTGGGAGGGAGTGGAGTAATAGAGTTCATGAAGTGATCAGAAATAGTTTGGATAATACAAATTACGCAGATGATGATGATCATAGTGTGAGCATAAGCTTAAAATCTGGACATATTTATTTATAAATTTCAATATGGTGTTATAAATCCTGTAACATCATAAATCCTAACGTTGTCATGCAAAATGTGTATGCAACATCAAAACAAAACAATTTCTTTTACCTCAAACCTAGAATCAGACTTGACAAGTTGTTCAAATTGTTTGGCAAGGTTTATGTGGTTACGGATATAATTTTGCAGATTTTCCTGGCCATACATTCTCAAGACCATCCATAGCTTTAATGATCTGCAATTAACATTCATTTTAAGAACTTGGTTAGTAGTAGCACTGTAAGATGCAAAGGAAGACAAGCATCAAGCTAATAGAGTTTTTGGAGCAGAATTAAAGAAGAGGAAAGATGATGAGGACATCCGACCATGGAGGGTCTACCAGAGGCATGGCCATCGATCTACGGCTATGATTGCACCGCTTTATTTTTTATTATCATTGTATTAGTTTATTTTGTATTATGAGTTATTATTGTTTTTTTCATTTATACCCTCAATTGAGGGCCTAGGTAAGTGTAAGCCCTAAGGGCATGTTGATCTTTTAGTTTTTCCTCATTGTATTTGGCTATTTAAAGTCTTCCCCTCCTTTGAGGGTTAATGAATGATATTATAAAAATTTCAACAATTATGTTTTGAGAGTTTAGAATTCTTACGAGAAAGAAAAGTCATTAAGTGAAGGGCGGCGTAGTACCCACCAACGGCAGGAAGCATCCGGGTTCGTGGTCTTTATCTTCCTCGAATCATTAAGGAAAGTCTTGATTGGCCCACATATCCCCTTCCCTCTCCTTGCGGGCCAAGCCAAACCCCACCACCATCCAAACCTTAATTCACTTGCCTCCAAACTTCAAATCTCCAATCAAGACTTTCCCTCTTTACACAAGCTCCATTTGGAAAGTCTTGATTGCAAATTTTTCAATCAAAATTTGAAATATTTCCTAAAATAGAACTCTATTTTAGGAAAGATCCTCACACTACAGGAAAACGCGCGATTACCATCGGATCTTCCGGCCGATGTATATACGTCGGAAAAGACGGCGTTTTTACCGGCGTTCTATGAGACGATACTATTACAACGTATTTACCGGAGGAAATTACGCCAGTATTGTTCCGACGCCGTTTCCACCTGTCAATACGTCGTAATCTGTAAGCATGGTGTATAATGCAGCATATTTTACGCTGGAAATTTCCGACGTATTTACCGACGGAGATGACGTCGTTCATTTCAAACACAACAAAATATTACCGTTGAAATAACCGACGAAAATACTACCGGCGTCTTATCCACCAGAAAATCCGTCAGTGGAAGCCCTATTTCTCTCCCGAGCCCGTCTGGCTTATTATTTCATTCCGCTGTTTCATTTAGGTCTCCGCTCGCCTCCGTCTCCCCAGCGTTGCCACACCGAGCCTCGCCGCTGTCGAGACCGTCAAAACTTCCACGGGCTTTGCCGACCCTCGCCGCCTCCGTCATCGGCAAAACGTCGAAGTTTTGAGGAAAATCTACCGTAATTTTTTATTTTTTCGTTGATTTTCTTAATATAAATTTGTTTAGAATGGTGAGGAGATTGTGCCTTAGTGTATGCATAGTATATTTTTTTATGTGGATAAAATGCCGGTAATCCACCGGAAATGATGATATAACGAATTTCGTATCGATTTCTGGCGTCTTTATATGGATAATGCGCCGGTTAACTCCGTCTTTTTTTTGGCGTATTTAGCGACGTTTTTTTCCGCCAGACTTACCGACGTAAAAATTTGACGGTAATTCCGACGTATGTAATGCCGGAATAAGCGAATATAAAGCAACGTAACTGCCACCTTCTTTTCTGTCGGTTGGGAGCCGGAAAGTTTTCCGACGTATTATTTACATTGGAATTTTTTTCCTGACGCGCATATTACAATCGTATGGAAATCCGACAGAAATTCAATGGAAACGTGCTCTTTTCGTCGAATTTTTTGTCACCAGTGTATTATATCCGCCATTACTGGTAGTGTCAAATCAAGCCCAAATTAATTTTGAATTGGATTGGATTTAAATCTTTTCCCTTAATTTGGGGTCTTTAATTGAGCAAGCATTAAATCACCTTCCCTAAACCCTAATCCACTTCACCAAGCCGCTGACCCCTCTCTCTCTCTCTCTCTCTCTCTCTCTCTCTCTTCCTCAATTACTTCCTATACCCATTAATGCTCCACAAATCAATCAAATCAATGCCCAATTACTTCCCTCTAAAGCTGAAATTAATTTCAGATTTCTAAATTTGTTTCCTTCCCCTATTCAAATTCAAAATTCCTCCCCTCCTCCCTATGGCCGGTCACTACCCCATCGCCTCTCACTTAACTAATCAACCAAACCCTGAATTTTTCCCTTGCTAAAGTGCTGTCCAGAATTTAGGGGTCTTTGAAACTGCTGTCCAGAATTTTTCAAAGCCAATATCTGTTGTCCAGAAGGTCCAAGCTGCTTTCCCGAAATTTCAGCAAACTACTATTGCTGTCCCGCTGTCCGGAAAGTACCAAATGCTGTCCAGAAGCTCCAGTATTTTGCTATTAATCATTCCTACATCTTGACGAAGGTAAACTTTCTTCCAAGTCTCATATCTTCTAAGTTATCTCTCATTGTGGCTCTGATTGACTCCTAAAGATTGTATTAACCCTCTCCGCTAAGCCTAATAATTTAGGAGTGAGTGAGGGATTCCTCATAACGAACAATCTCATTGTTAACGTAGTGATTTTTTGTTGGAAATCTTTCATGTATGCTATGTTTTGAATCATTGATTATTTTGTGATCCTAACTTCTTGACGGGAAGTTCTCGTCTGGCCTAAGCTCGTTTCCCCCTCTCGATTTATTTCATTATTTAAATCACTAAAAGTTTAATAGTTAATATTGCTCTCAAACAAAGAAGCGTGCAAGTCTTATAAAACATTGCCTAACAATTTAAGTCCAGCATCACAAGAACTTCTCAAGCCAAGGAAAACAATCTTTCTACTGCTCGTAGTAAGGATCATCCAATCAAGAAAAACATTATCATTTACCTAGTTATTTTACCATCTAATCCTTATGAGACAAGGATAGTGTAAGCTTAAGCTGAATATCCTTCCATTTCTAGTGCTAATTTAAGCAGAAGATCCTTTTTCTTTTAATTTGTAAGCCCAGATTCAAAGGATTAAGGATTACCAAAAGTGTACAAAATACATTCCTGCATCATATTACATGTTTTCAAGTTCATTGTTTTAGAACAGTTTGTTTTTCACCTGAAACGGCGTCCTAAAGGAATTTGCCAATCTTTGAAATCGACAACTGCATTCTCTTGAGATGCCTGAAGAAATGAATATCTATAAGAAATCAAAAGAGGATTATCTATTGAATATGATTGTTCTGTAGCACATTAAAATTTCTTTTTGAACGAATTTAACAGTCTATTACTGGTGGTAAAGAGATCTTACCTTATTTTTGAGAAATTCTGGATTTGTGGATAGGGATTGAATAAGAGCATTTCGGTCCTGTAATCATTAATAGAAGAATCCTTTGTACAAACACTGTGTATACTCACAGTCCGGACGGGAACTTCCCGTTCAGACTCCGCACAGAATAATTTCTCCCAATACTGAATACAAAATCTATTTGAAGAATAGTGGTGATTAATAGCTATTTTACCATATTCCTCATCCAAAAAACAAAAAGAAAACATGCTTGACACCCAAAAGCTTAAATAAGATGTTATAAACGCAAATACCTTCACCCACAGCAAGGAGCAATCAAAATTTGTTAGCAACCACTTATGTGCGTTCATTCCAAATGAATCTGCTTCTTCCACACCATCAATATGGTGACGGAACTCAGGGCAAATACAAGCACTGCCAGCATATGCAGCATCAACATGGAACCACATGTCACTGGCCTATTAAAATGAACAGCATACAGATTTCAAAAAAAATCTCTTGTAATGTTAACTTTTAAGAACAATGGAATCAAACAAAAAACTACAGAGAGTTGTAGGAAATTGTCTTGGCATTTGTCCAATGAATTAATAACCATGGGAATATCTAGGAATAAATTTGAGGCTATAGATGTGTGGAGGACCGGAGGTTAAGTAAACATTCACAAAATGAGGAGAAATAGAATAGGCTAAGAAAACCCTCATAGAGGGAAATTTAAGAAAATGATATTTACTCGGGATTTGATGCAATAATAATAAACATATTTTAATAAAAAAATTAATAAGGCCGCACATAATATTAAAAAAAAAAAAGAAAAAAAAACATTCATGTCAAAAATTCATAAGTGGACTACCTTCTTAGTTCTTACTCGTTCCTGATGGAAGAATAAGAAAGAAAATAGATCTATCCCAAGAAAATTTAGAGCTAGATAACTAATTAAATTTTGGAAAAGTGACTATGATAGGAAATAGTCACCTCCAACAGAAAATCTGCTATTTTCTGAAGGCAAAACAACAATAGGACAGCAGCAACTTGAGAAAACTGTAGAAATCTGAGAGAAAAATGATGGATTCCACTAGTAAATGAAGAAAAATAGCAAACGATACAAGTTTTTTCAATTCAAGAAGAAGAAATGACTCTCCAAATCCCTAGCCAAGTGACTAGAGCCCAAGCACAAGGATGATCTCAAAGTTCAGATTTAAATTCAAGATGAAACCCTAATTCTAGCATTAGCAACTAATTAAAGATAAAGGAGGAATAAAAAATCCCTAAACATCCCCTAATTCAAATATTTCCCTCCAAAATAATTTTTAATCAAGGTGTGGGCCCCATAGGAGCAGCCGGCCCCTTCTCTCTCTCTTCCTTGGGCCGGAGGCTGTAATAGAAAATTGATCCTCTAGGGACCGGTTCAATAGGAACAGCCGGCCGCTCTTGGGCCGGCCTAACAGACTATTAAGATAAGAATGAATTCATAGTCATGAGAGTGGTAGAACAGACCTGATGCTAGCTACGTTTATTCTATTGAAATGCAACTCCAAGTTTTGGACACTCCATCCGATTCGTTGAGCAATCTTACTCCGACGGCGCTAGCAATAATTGTGCATCTATGGGCAATTACAACTTTTGGTCGAGACATCTTGGATAGTTTCACACGACATTGCTTTTTTTCGCCCATCATTTTCACCGTGTTTAGATTGGATCAACCCTAGAGCAATCATCAAAGTCAACAACTTTTCAACTCCACTGTCAAGGAACCATATGACTAAAAAGCTTAAGCCCACATTCATGCACATTTTGTCGTGATAGCATGGATTAAGCACGAACTCCCAAAATTTTAAATAATAGTGGAATTTCTCTGTGGTTGAACAGAAGACCTATTTATGATCGACTAAATTTGGAAATGAAAACCATCTTAACCCAACATTAGATTGTTGCCAAGTACTTACTTCTATCATACCATTCACAAAGGCATTGGCATGCAAGTTTAGCACAAGATTAAACCTTGAACTTTCGTTCTGTATCCCTATTGCAAGATTTTATACAATAACCTAATACCAAATGCAACTCTAAACAGGATTTTTTTCTAGAGAGATGATGAAAGAAACACCTATTGAAGTTAAGCTACAAGAAAATAGACTTAATTGACATGAAAGGAGCAAGAAAGATAAATTAATATGATTACAAGTCATGAAAAATAATTACGCAAAACAGAATTAACATCTGTTTTAGCATTCAAAAGGATAAGTAGAATTCATAAGTTCATAACCAAATAGTTGGAATAGAACTAACGATGTTCACAATGATAATTATTAGCTTAGTTACTGCATATGGATTACCTTAGCTATCTTGCCTAGAGCACATAAAGGATCAACTGCGGCAGAAGATGTTGTCCCAACCTGAAAGTAACCGTTAGAACAAACTTTAGTTTTCATAATAATGGCGTCAAATCAGAATTAGTCATTGTCAGAACTTTTTTTTTTTTTTTTTGAGCACTCGAAATAGGATATACTTTTTAAAGAAAAATTATACCAAAATATTTAATCAAAGGAGAAGAAATAGTGTTCCTCACTGTAGCACAGAGGAAGAAGGGTATCAATCCTGATGAAATATCATTGGAAATTGCTTCAGAGAGTACTTCAGGAACAAGCTCATAACTTGAACTTTGTTCAGCCTTCAAAAGCCTAAAGTTTTCTGAATAAATTCCTGCAATCTACCAATATTTAGAAGTTTAAGAATCCAAACTCAAAACTAATGTGATAAGATGTTGAATTATAAGTGAGCTAGGGAAGGACACTGGAAATATTATCTGCCTAGCAAAAATACCTGAAAGTAATTTTCATGATTTTGGCATATCATTATTTGGGAAAAATAGAACTAAATCATTTTTTCAGATGATTGAATGCTACCATGCAAAAAATATTGAAGAAGGAAATCATAATTGTCCATGAGCCATCCTTGTCTATTAAAGACTGAGATAATGATATGGCAGGATGGCAGTCAAAGAGTCTGTTTGGTTGGTGCTTAAGTTATGCCAAACAAGCTAAGCTAAGCTAAGCCTCTAACTTTCTAAGCGGATTAAGCTATTTGGTTACAGAAAAAGATAAGCTGAGAAACTTATTTAGGTATATTTTGATTTGAGCTCATTTGCTCAACCAATCATGATGTCAAAATTTATATTTAGCTAAAAATTATCCTACTTGTTGCGGGCTAGAAAATACGCGGCGATAGAGATTTAATTCTGTGTCTTAGCGTTGTACGTATAACTAGCACACACACAGAGAACACAAGATTTTTTACGTGGAAAACCCTTAAAAGGGAAAAATCACGAGGCCTAGCCCAGTTGAAAATGATTCCACTATACTTTGAGTTGGTTACAAAGGACTGAATCACCTCCAATGGTGATCATATTACAATCAGTTACTTAAGTAAGACGTCGGTCTTTGGCGGGATGTAGGGACTGAACGTCGGGCCCTGAGTAAGACGTCGGGTCTTCGGCAGGACGTCGGGTCTTCGGCAGGACGTAGGGGCTGAACGTTGGGCCTTAAGGTGGTGGTCCGGCGAGGTTCTGCGGTGGTCCGGCGAGGTTCCTGCGGTGGTCCGGCGATGGTCAGGCGAGGACCAGACGGTGGTCCGGCGGTGGTCCAGTGGCTGTCGAGGAGGAGCTCCTTCCTTCTCTTCTTCCTTCTCTTCTCTTCTTCTCTCTCTTGCTTAGATCCTCTATTGTGAAGAATGAGGGCTCTATTTATAGATTTTCTGGAGTGGCATGGCCCGTAAATAGGTGTGAGATCAAGGGCGAATAGGGAGTGGTTCGAATGGACGGCCGATAGTGAACCCTTAAATCGTGCACCGTTCGTTGGACATTTGGAGGCCTTGATGATGTCGGAATTCAGCGATCATGGGCTCGTTGGATTCGTCTCGTCGAGCCGTTCGATTTGAGTATAAGCTCGTCAAAATCGGAGACCGTTTGGTAACTCAAATTGCTGTTTGAACCTTCCGACAGCACTTTGAGCCCTTGATTCGGACTCATTTGGGCTCGGATTGGGTTGATCTTGGTGTCCTTGGGTTCGTATTTCCGAGACGCTCAGTTTGACTGTAAGCTTGCTGAAATCAGAGTTCGGGTGCTCTCAAAATTAATTTTTTGAAGTTTCCAACTAGCTTTTGCCTCGAGATTCGTGCCCGATCAAGATAATTTTTGCATGACGTATCACTACTAAATAGTATCTAAACCTTAACTTATTAAGTTTAGATAAGCTCCTTTAAGCATACGAAAATTATCTTAATTAAAAGTTTTATCAATTACAATTATGTTTTATTAAGAAGCAGAAAGAAAGTCATCCCAAACAAAACGAAGGAGTCATTAATTTCCTTTAGTTTTAATCAAATTTCCTATTGCTATCACACGTATTTGCAAAAATGCTGACATCAATAGAGATGTAACACACATTAACATCCAATAAGATACAAATGAATCATCCAACCATGCTACTGTCCTGATTCAAATTTCAAACCCTGCTGCACAAAAATAGCACATTAAACTTAATTTAAACTAAAATGGAAAACGGATAAATACTGATTATGCTAAATTTGAATCCCGGATATCGCAAGCGTGCATTGGTAATTTGTAAATTTGAAATGTAACTATTCTATTAAAAAATTTTATCAGATATGTGCTGTGCACTCATTCAATACAAAGTGCCTTGAATTTCATCCAAAGAAAGGGTATTATACTATATAACGATATCAGGCAAGCACTAATGCAAGAAAACGATAGGCTGAAAATTTAAAAAGGATGGGAAAAGGGAAAGGAAACAACACGGAGATGGAAACTAAAAGATTGCAGAAGTGCAAAATGATATGATCCATCAGTAAAAAAGTAGCTCAACATAAATTTCAAATGAAGTAGCCAACAAATTTTGTTTACCAACGAACATGAAGCAAATGCGTATAGAAAATTAACTTTAACACCTCTGGCTTTCTAGAAGAGAAGATAGTTTGTAGTCTCATTTACAACTTCATGCATTTCTTCAAAGAAAAGTTAGAAATTTGTTACGGTTGAATACCTGACATGCCTTCTGCAACGCAGAATGGGCTTGATCAGAAGCATAAACAATTAGCTTATTTAGATATTCCTTTCCAACTCTCCTCAGTATTTTATCACGAGCAGCCAACAAAGCAACAAGAACTGCTTCACTAGCTGTACCTTGAATTACTCCACCGCCAAGCCCTGCAAGATAGTCCTCCACAATCTCAAGTGTTAATAGTGGTGTTATTTTTAAAATAATCCAACTAAATAAGAAATTTGTAACAGTTTAATGCATTAAATTTCAAATAGATATTTGAGATAAAATCTCAAGTTTAACAATCAAAGCATTTGAACATGTAGACAACCTCAACCTGACTCAAAAGGTGCCTTAAAATTGGTACAATAAATGGACATTATGATGTGAAATAGAAACGAATTTTAGTGATAAATCACTCGCACAAGAAATTTTTATGATCACAAAAATTAGCATTGAGCATATTGTCGGTGGTTGCTTGAAGTACCTCTGGCAATGGATGGTAAATAAATTTATATTTCTTTTCTGAGTTTATGACAATGGAGCACTAGTAATAAAGGCCAACATTGCCAAGATAACAAGACTAAATAGATATTTACCACAATATGAATAACAAGGTAAGAAAATGTGTAGTAGAGAAAAGCTAATCTATAAATCAATTATATATATATATATATATATATATATATTTCAATGGTTCGGCCACCCTCTTACACAAAGTGTTAATCACAATTTTTAATTTAAAAAAACATGGAAAATATAAAAATTCTTCAAAATTTAAGGTCTCTCAATGTAGAAATCTCTAAAACCTAAAATGCCTAAATTCCATTTTTAATAAAATCTAACATATGAAATCTTTAAAAATTTTAAAAATGATAAAAGAGATGAAGATTTACATTGAAAATTTCGAAGAAATGGACAAGAAATGAGCTTGAAATGTGTCTAGTGATGGAGAGGCCAAGAAAGGTGTTTGAGAGAAAGTTTTCCGTGAAATGGGAGATGGTCCAGAGGGAGATCATCAGGGATGAAATAGGGCCTTCTCAGACATAATTTCCAACAGATTTTTCCATAAAAAAATCAAGTAGATTTTTTTATGGAAAAACCGCCAGGAAACTTAACTACCAGCGGAATTTCAAATGGAATTACCGGTGGAAAAAAAGCCGATAGAAATTTCGATGGAATAATTCCGCCGGCAAAGAAAGGTAGAGGTAGACCTAAAAAGACTTGGCTAAAAAATATTAGAAATGACATTTCTTTATTAGATTTAAATGAGAATTTGACTCTTAACATGACACAATTGAGAAAAAAGGATTCATGTAGTTGAACCTACATAGTGGGATAAAGGCTTGATGTTATCGTTGTTGTATCATTATATTTATTTTGCGGATGTTTGTCGCAATGCTTGGTGTTTAACTAAAATCATCACATAAGCTTATGCAGAGTAATCATGCTTATTGCATATACACTTTCACTAGCTTAATAATTTTCTAATCACCATCACTTTATTGTATAATTACATTGATAGGATTAATTAAATTGAAAACACTATTTCTCACTTATAATTGAGTAACATGTTATCAACATCAAACTTATCACTTGATTGTATCAATGAAACAGGAACAATAATAAATAAAAGAGAAAATGAATGCAACAATTACAAGAGTAAAAACTACCCAACTCAAATGCCAAAAAGAAAGGAGAGTGTTAGTGTGACAATGAATGGCAAAAGAAAAAATTAAAGAATACTAAAAATTGAAACAACACGCAACCTCAAAAATTGTTATGCGTTGAATATGATTATGTTGATCAATTTGGTTATTCTGTTATCTAGGACCTCAAATATTGTCGTGTACACAGAGGGGTGCAGAGAGTTTACCCCCTGCTTGGGTTTGGGTGCTTTGCACCTGAAAATATTTTTTAATAGTTAATACAACGCCCTTGGCGTTGTGTACCCAAGCGCCCCAGTATTGAACGACAGAGAGTAGAGCGCCGCAGCAATATAGATACGGGCTGCAACGGTGCAAGACAGACTTGGGCGCCGCAACGTCCCAAACTGGCCCCGCAGCGCTACGAAACAGACTGGACGATTTTCTTTCTTATTTTCTAAAGGTTTGTGACCCTTTGAGTTATTTTACTTGGATTTCTCTTGTATTTTTAGTTAGGGCAAGTGTGAGAACGGCGCATGTGAGAAGGGAAGCAAGGAGAGAGTGAGAAAGAAGATAGATATGTACTTCTCAATTTTCATAGTGGATTTCTTGTTGTGGTGTGGCTCTTTGTTTTTTTTTTTCCTATTTTGAATTTTTTCACGTTAAATCCTGATGTCCTTTACTTTCCATTGTTTTTACTTACTTGCTTGTTTCTTCATTGTGGTATTTACTCCTTATCTTCCCCAACAAATACATGAATATGTGAAATTAAAAAAGGAATGCAGATATTCAAAGAACATAGAAAAAGAAAGTGGCATGAGCACAAATAGATGACATTTATAACACACTAAGCTAGACAGGAGATATCTAAACCATTGGAAATCATTATTGAAGGTAGGGATTTATTAAAGAAAACTAAAAATAAAGAGAAAACAATTCCAATTACCAGATGAAAGGAATTGATTTGGTAGCTTCAGCATTTTAGCAACCCAGTCCAAGACAACAACTTCTAATTCTGTTGCAGCAGGTGAGGTTATCCAGCTGAAGCCCACAATATTAAAGCCAGCACTGAGCATTTCGCCAAGAAACCCAGCTATGCTGCTATTGGAAGGATAATAAGCAAAATAATTAGGGCTCTGCCAGTGGGTGACACCCGGTATTATCTTTTGCTGCACATCTGCAAGCACAGTACTTAAGTAAACTTAACTAGTCCTCAACAATGCCACCAAAATACATCAATAGCCAACTTAATGGAGACCAGAAGTATTAAATAACCGAGATGGTATCAGAACAGAAATTAAAACCCTAAATTCAACACGATATAATCAGCCGAGCACAGATTATACCATCAAGAATGTCCTGCAAACTTTCAGGCTGTCGAGGGGCTGAATCCGGAAGAAGCTCGCTAAGATACCCAGGCTACAATTACATAATTGCAGAATAAATCAAAATGAATCCAAAAATTAAAAAGAGAACGAAAACATAGCTTTCATTTCATCAAAAGGGTTAAAAGAGCTATCTTTTTCTTCTTTACCCGCATGTTCCATACCTTAACCTGGCTCAGAACGGGGAAATCTTCCAAATTCTTGTAGTAATCCGCGATGAAATCTACCATCTTATGAGCATTCTCTCTCAACTGCTCCGCGTCCATGGGCTTCAAAGAACTCTCCCTTGGACCATTTTAAATTTTGAAAAAAAGAAATGGAGTAAGAGGATTCCTTGTCTCAAAATTTTGAAGGATTGGAGAAATTATTTGCGCACTTACATTGGAAAGTACTGATCTGCAGCTCTAATTTGGAACAAGGAGCTGTGATTGAGAAGGAAAAGCAGGAAATTTATATAGGCGCCAACGTAGGAGGGCTTCAGTAATCTACTCTGAGAATCTCTGAACAAGGTTTCGTTACCCGTTGCTTCAGGACAAGTTTGAGCCTCAACTCTACGGATTAAAAAACTAACATTTTTATAACAGGAAGAAATTAAAGTAATATAAAAATTATATAATAATGATATTTTTATTAATTTAATATATGTATATATATAATATTTTAAATTATGATACGTTATTATTGAAGTATTTTAATATGATTTTAAATTAAAATTATGAGATATAATATTTTGATTATTTATAATATATTTAGCTTCAAATAATAATAATAATATTCAACTTAAAAGTTTAAGAAATAGAAATGAAAAGGAGCTAAATTTGTTAGAATCTCTAGCCATTTTATTATAGTTATTTTATCAAAAAATAAAATATTAGGAATTGATCTATATTCTAACCAATTTGTTCATATAAAATTGTACTTGTTCTTCGGTTTAACTATGGGTTAATATCAACTCTGAATGGTTCTATGCAAAAGCGATCTTTATGGTTGGACCAGACCAGTCAAAGGATCAATTCACGATTGAACTGATCGGACTAATCAGCCCAATGCTATTTTTAATACTATTTCAATTTATGATTAAAATAGACTAGCATATTTTTATATAAAATTGCTATTAGTAAGTGATAGAACCCTGCTGGATCGGACAAGACCTGGAAGAAACGTGAGCAAGGAAATGAAGAAGAACTACAGGACAGTGTAGTTCCTGTGTTTGTATTTCTTTGATAATAAGCAAAAACTGTCTACAATTTCTTAGTATCAGCTATAAGTATCCTTTCTCTGTTTCCAAATACTATAATTAGTTAAGCAACTAAAAAGGAGGGCGGTAGTGCGGTAAGCAGTAATAGAAAAATAGATAATGGCAAAAAACACCAGTGGACGATATGCAGGTAAGATGTCCTGCGGAGGCGGTAGTAACGTGAGCTGCATCAGTCCTCTCCGGGTTCGGAAGAGCTCGACTCCGACGAGCTGGCTGATATAATGCCGTCGTCTGGTGGTGCATATGCCCCAATGTCGGACACATTAAAAGTCGGGGACGTATTGTAACCAGCAGGCAACGCTACAGTGTAAGCGTTATCGTTGATTTTGGCTATGATCGGAACGGGACCTATCTTACGACGGGAGAGCTTAGAGTAAGTCCCTGCGGGGAATCATTCCCTCCTTAAACGAACTATCACCAGATCCCCGACCTTGAACAGTCGTCGCCGGCGGTGAACATCGGCTGCAATCTTATAACGCTGATTGGAAGTAATTATTTGCTGACGGACATCAGCAAGCATCTCCTTGTAACTATCGGTAAAAGTGGCAGCAGCAGACGACTTGCACTTTGGTAGGATGGAGATGTCGAGAGCAATGTTAGGAGGTTTAGTATAAACAATACTAAAAGGAGTTTTACCTGTGGACCGGTTTGTCATGGAGTTGTAAGCAAATTCAGCCTTACTCAAAACATCCTCCCATTGGCGCGGATGCTCCTGGACTAAACAACGTAGCATGCTCCCCAAGGTGCGGTTTACCACCTCCGTTTGGCCATCTGATTGCGGATGATATGCTGAGCTGAGTCGTAGTTCGGTCCCCAACCTCTTCCAAAGCTCACGCCAAAAGTGGCTTATAAATTTGACATCACGATCTGAGGTGAGGCTCCTCGGGAGTCCGTGCAGCCGAACCACTTCATCAAAAAAAAGTTGAGCAATGCTTAAGGCATTAGAAGTTTGCTTACAGGAGACAAAATGCGCCATTTTGGAAAATCTGTCGACGACCACCATGATGGAGTCATTCCCTCGCTTGGTCCGCGGCAGCCCCAAAACGAAATCTAAGCTGAGGTCCTCCCAAATTGAATCTGGGACAGGTAACGGCATGTAGAGACCAGTATTTTGAGCTCCCCCTTTGTAGTTTTGACATACCGTGCAACTTTCAACGAAACGAAATACATCTCGTCGCAGCCGTGGCCAAAAAAATCTGGTCTGAAGTTGGCGAAGGGTGTTGTCCCGGCCTACGTGTGCGGCAAGTGCTACCGCATGCGTCTCCTTTACCAACTGTTGGCGCCAAGATGAAAACAGGAATGCAAAGCAAATTGCGTTTAAAAAGATAACCATGGCGAATGGAATATTCTTCCACCTGCTGTTGGGCTTGGCATTGTGCCCATATTTCACCAAAATCTGGATCATCCACATATAAGTCTTTTAAGCATTCCAACCATGTGATTTGAGTTTGCAGTTGTACCAACAAAAGACGCTTCCTGCTGAGGGCATCAGCCACTCGGTTGGCAACACCCGGTTTGTGTTTAATGGTGAAAGTGAACCTTTGTATGAACATCAGCCACCTGGCATGCATACGGTTAACTGTCCTTTGACTGTTTATGTATGAGAGTGCCTTATTATCACTGCAGAGTATAAACTCTTGGTGAAGGAGATATTGTTCCCACTGTTTAAATGCCCGAATAATAGCATAAAGTTCGTGTCATAGGCCGTCCATTTTTGACGCGCCGGACATAATTTCTCACTAAAAAAAGCTATAGGTTTATCTGATTGTGAGAGAACAGCCCCAACTCCTGTGGACGAAGCGTCTGTGTCGACGGTGAACAACTTTTCGGAACTAGGCAAGGCTAGAACAGGCGCTGAGCAAAGAGCCCTTTTGATCTCATCAAAACTGTTTTGCTGCTCTTCGGTCCACGCAAAAACCTTGGATTTGAGACAATCCGTGACGGGCGCCATGATAATGCTAAAGTTTTTGATGAACTTACGATAGAAGTTCGCCAGGCCGTGGAAACTACGCACCTCCGTAAATGATTGGGGAATAGGCCAATCCGTGATGGCTGCTATCTTCCGAGGATCCATTCTAATTCCTTCTTCAGAGACTATGAAGCCAAGGAACGATACAGTGGAGACTCCCAGTTCACACTTTGAGAGATTAAGAAATAATTTTTGCTTCCTTAGAACATCAAAAAGAGTTGTCAGGTGAGTCAAATGAAGTTGCCAGGAGGTGCTAAAGACTAATATGTCATCAAAATAAACTATACAAAACTTCCCGAGAAACGGTTTCAGCACTTCGTTCATCATCCTCATGAAGGTAGAGGGAGCGTTGCAAAGCCCGAACGGCATAACCTTCCATTCATATAGACCCTGGGGAGTTTTAAACGCCGTCTTCCACTCGTCCCCGGGACGTATGCGGATCTGATGGTAGCCGCTGCGTAAGTCTAACTTTGAGAAAATGGACGATCCGGACAGGTGGTCCAGCAATTCTTCGATGCGAGGCACCGGAAATCTGTACTTTACGGTGATTTTATTAATGGCCCTACTGTCCACGCACATCCTCCAACTTCCGTCCTTCTTCGGAACTAACAGCGCTGGCACCGCGCAGGGACTCATGCTTACTTGTATGAATTGTTTTTCGAGTAACTTGTCAATCAATTCCTGAAGAATTTGTTGCTCCTTCGGGTTAAGCCTATAATGCGGCATGTTGGGGAGGCTCGCACCCGGAATAAGGTCTATATGATGCTGAATATCGCGGAGAGGAGGAAGTTCTGCCGGTAAATCTTCAGGCAATAGCTCTTTAAATTGTTGCAGAATGTGTTGGAGGTCACTGTGCATAGTCTCTGGACTTGAGCAGAGGTTTGGTTCTGTCAACAATAGAGCAAACAAGGGGGCGGGTTCACGCCAACAATGAAGCAATGTGGACCCCGAGACTAAGTGCATTGCGGGCTGTTTTGTTGCACCTGTTTGTAAGGATTTGTTGTCCTGAGAATTAGGCAGTAGCCTAAGACGACGACCCTTCCATTCGAAAGAGTAGACGTTAGCCCGGCAATCATAGACAGCTCCGGTATCGAACTGCCACGGTCTTCCCAATATAAGGTGACAGACGTCCATCTCCAAGACGTCACACACCACCTCGCAAATATATTGCTTCCCAATGGAAAAAAGTGACTCTGCAAATCTCTATGCCTTTCTTGACCCATGTAATTTTGTACGGACTAGGATTTTTGAAAGTCTTCAACTGCAAACTTTGAATCACCGAGCGTGAGATCACATTTTCGGTACATCCGCTGTCTATCAACAGGTCGCACACTTTGCCGCTTATGGTACACCTTGTCCGAAAGAGTGCATGGCGTTGGGAAGGAACACTTTGCCTGGGAGCCAATAATAATTTCTCTAGAATGCACACCAATGGCTCCCCGTCGTCAACCACTAGATCATCTATTTCAGCTTCTCCGTCAATGTCCGCATCTACTGGTTCACTTTCTTCTTCTCCGCCCGCATAGTGAGCTTGTTGTCTTTGGGGACATTCATTTGATTTGTGACCGGGCTGGAAACAACGAAAGCATTTTAGCGTAGACGGTCTAGCATATTGATTTTCCTTACCTTGTTGTTTCGGTTTGGCCGGTGGCTTATGATCCAAGCTGGAACTTGCTGGGGTGGAGGCGGAATTAGCCACAGGTTGAGGAGTTTTTCCAGATTGCGGAGAGGTTTTGCTGGACCCAGGTATCGGTTCAATCCAATGCCTCCGAGTGAATGGTGTCTTCACTTGCCTAGATTGTTGCATCTCCGCCTTCAAGGCAAAATTGATGGCTTGAGATAAAGACCATACTGAATTTAATTCCAGCTTGTCTTGGATACTCTCCTTCAGTCCGCCGATATAACGAGCCACTAACTGATTGGCTGATTCATTTAAGTTGTTTCTGGCACTTAGTCGGTTAAATTCCTCGGTAAACTCGCTCACCGAACGGGAGCCTTGCACACAATGCTGATACCGCATGTAGAGGATTTGCTCGAAATCCGTAGGCAAGAAATGAGCTCTCAACAATTGCTTCATTCGATTCCAGTTCCGAACCCGACCTTTGCCTTCTCTTTGCCTTGTTTGTAAAATCTGCGACCACCAAGCACTGGCACCCCCATGCAAACGACAAGCCACATATTTCACTTGCTTGTCGGGCACAATCTCCATATAATCGAAAAAATTTTCCACAGCCTTTTCCCAATCAAGGTAATCTTCGATGTGCAAATGTCCATAAAAAAAAGGGATGTCAAGCTTCACCTTAAATTCTCCTTGGCGA